AAAGCTTATGCACTAACAGTTGTAGGTCTCTGAAGCACAGACTAAACCTGTGGGTTGTTTTTTTTAAAAAAAAAAAATCAGTTTGACACGTGGAAGGTAAACAATCCATGTGAGCTGGAACACCAGTCACAGAATCCCATTCAACCCCCCAGGTTGAATGCAATGGTTTTAAGCCAGTTCCTGGAATGGTCTAAAACCAGGAGCTAGCCACAAAGTCATGGAAAAATTCTTCAGCTTCTATTTTTCAAGCCCAGCCTGCAGTTCCCTTAACTCCCATCGGTAACTGCCTCCTCACACGCTTTCGTCAGATGGAGATTCAGACACGTTCACAGCGGAGGAAAGAAACCCAAATGATCAAAAGAGTTCTTTAGAGGGGCATTCTAGAAACAGCTGAAGCGGGGATTCCCCCTGCCCTCCCCCCCCCTTAAAAAAATCCAACTGGATTCAATTTAGTGAGAGTCTCACTAACTTAGCTTTAAAGGCTCTGTTTTGCGGGGAAAGTTTAGCTTCAAGCTTCTTCCTGATTTGGTTAACTTTCGTAAAAACTTCTGAGGAGGAAAAGCACAACATACCAGCTAAGTACTTTTCCTGATGGGTTAACTTTGGAAAGTGCTCCAGTGGCAAGGTCGTTTTCAGGCCTTTGCTTTTGGGATGGTTTTGCCAGGCCATTAGTGGTGGATGGAAAAAAAATGCAGGTACGATTTATGCCCCTAAAGAACGGCATAGAAGTCCCCGCATGTTGTGTGGCCAGAGCCAATCAGCTTGGTTAGGCAGGGATGGAGAACGGGTTTGACTTGTTGAAAGGAGTGTGTGCGCGCGCATCAGGGAGGGTGTCTAAGGCCAGGCAGCTTAAGAGACGAAAGCTCATGGTTGGCAGACAGGGAGGAAAAGGAAGGTTTGTGGGGTGGTCTGGGCTGTGGTGGCCCTGGCTTCAAGACTTACTCTGTCTTATGTGACCGTCTGTGCCTCAGTTTCCCAAGAAGTGCCTTACCCATCTGTGAGATGGGGATATTAGCACTGGTCTCCCTCAAACCACCTTCCAGCAAGACACTGTAGTGATGGAGGCTGGGGCACAGTACCACAGAGAGGGACAGGGTAGACTGCCCTCCATATCCAGCCTGACGCATTAGGTGGATCGCCTCCGGGAGCGAGTGAGCCAGATCACTTCAGCACGAGAGCTCCCCCCCAGACAGGGGTCCAATTCCTCCTGTGGGGCAGTTACAAGGAAAGCCAAACACCCCCTCCCCACTCCCTGCTGAAAGCCAGACAGTGGCTAGACAGCCTGACCGTTGCTCATAGTTACCAAGGGGTTTGGATGGACACCGTAGGCCTTGAGGGGAAGAGGCTGACCTGCTCTAAAAAAAGCCATTTCTTGAGTACAGCCACCCCTGAACTTTCCATGGTCAGCCCCTACCCCGGATCATCTGGGCACCCCCCAGATGACAACACAGGGAGCCAGGCTGCCAGCTGCTGTGGGGGAGGGGAACACAAACAGAACAGGGGCTGAGGCTGGGCTCAGATCAGCCCCCCCCCCCCCCCTCCTCACCGTGTCTCCCCCC